GGGGGGGGTTCATGGGTTTATATCCGCACACTACACCCTTCAGAATGCACTTGTCCTTCAAGTCTGTAAAAGTCATACTGGGGGAAAAGATCATTTATTTTTGAGATCAAATTTTTATTAAACCCATTTTTCATGTCTTAAATTCCTTATCCTCTAGAGGAAAACAAAAAAAAAAGTCAGGTTTTAATGATCTGAGTAATTTCAAAAAATTTGATATGTGCACCGGTTAATTATTAGGTCGAGCAACCTTAATTTTGTACATTGACTTGTCCATTGCGGTTTAGTCTTTGAAGAATAAATTATTTGTGTACTTCTGGTCCCTTTTTATGTGTTCATTTTGTGCCTTCATTAGTTACTGAGAAAGGATGGGTTTGTAGAGGCAGCTGTGAAAGTACAGTGGTGCACACTAGGTAAGTATTTAAACATTTGTGAGAAGCACTGATCCCTTACTGAGGTATTTAGGCTGAGCTTTGCGAGGAGAAACACTGTAAACCAATGATAGGATGGCATTTGATTTTTCTTCTGTCTAAATGATATTTTTGCTGTTATCTTAGTCAAAGTATTGACTTTTGCTTGCTTTAACTTCAAAAAAAGAGAGAGAAACCACTCGATTGTACCCTGATTCAAGAATTCACAGTTTTGTTTGTTGACAAATGCTTTTAACTGGAATTATGTAAAATACATTCGCTAGCTTCATTAGTATGGAAAAGTGTTTTTTTCTTTTCCTTGCTTTTTTTCTTGAAGAGGAAAGAAACTAGCATGTATATAGGGAAAATGACTGTGAATTCAAGTTCCAATGAATTCTTTCAGTACTGAGATTGCTGTATATTTTATGAGTAATAAAGAAATGAGTTATTTAATGATGAACTTGATTTATTTTTTTGTTAAATGCTGTCTTTATTTCTGATTGCAACTATCTCCATTTCTTTGTTTTGCTGGGAAAATGGGTGCAAGTGTACAAAAAACATATGGAAATACAGTATATAAGGTAAAAACAGAGTTTGCATAATTCTAATGAGCTTTAAAGTCACTTTTCTGTGTTCATAATGTCATCGGTTTTGACAAGATCCCAAACACCGCTGTCAGAAATGCAGGACCAGACCATGACAGAGACACTGTGTTTTACAGGTGGCTGTAGACACTGTTGTACCTTTCTCCTGACCTCTGTAAATACTGATGACGATTCATCACTCTATAAGACTTATGCTACTGATTTACAGTCCAGTTCTTGTGTAATTTGGCATACCACAGTCTATTCTTACTGTTTCTCACTTTTAAGAATGACTTTTTTACAGCTACCTTTCCACTGAGACTATTTCTGATGAGGCAGTGAGCAGTTCAGGGACCTGTTGGTGTACCATCATTCAATTATTATTAGTTATGCTTTTGTTTTTTATTCTGTCATACAAATATAGAAATCATACAACTGCTGTTTTTGTGGTGTAGAAATGTTACTGGCAGCCAATGAAAAGAGCTGCATGATTCTGTTCCATCCATATTTATTAATTTATTTAAAATGATGCATTAAACCAAAGACCGACTACAAGGTCAATGCTTAAACTCTAGATTCTAATATTTATTAGAAATAACTAAATAAAATATAGTATCTAGCCTACACAACTGAATTTCTTTTTGCACTTCTCGGTAGGACGTGAGGTCACACGCATTGGCTCCCGTGATTGGCTCGTAACTCGGAAGTGGAAGTAAGGGGGCGGATGCAGGTCCAAAAACAAACCAAGCAGAGACCTTTGCTCAAGGGCTCTGATGCAAACTTGCTCAAGTTGCAGTCCAGCCTCACCTTGTGGTTTGTGACAGTGCGGTTTGACATTGCGCTGCCCGCTGTCTCCTCACGGTCATGGACGAAGTGACAGGAGCTCAGCTCATCGCTGAGTCTCTAAAGGCTCAGGTAGGAATGACGTCGTCTGCAAACATGTGGCACTCCAACAGAAATATTCTCCCTGTTTGTGTCTTTGCTCAGATGTAACTGTTGAGCAATGTGTCAAAGTCCAAGTGCGGGGCGGTCAGGATCACTAAACTTTTCATAAAAGCATTTCCTCCTCTTATTAATAATGCTACTTTTTTACAAAACTTGTTCAATCCAACGTTCAACCAATCTCCCTGCAGAAAGTGGACTACATGTTTGGGATAGTTGGAGTTCCGATTATCGAAGTGGCCATGGCTGCTCAGGCTGCAGGAATCAGATACGTAGGAATGCGCAACGAGCAAGCGGTAACTCGTTGTTTTGTACAACCTTAGTAATCCCTAACAAAAGCATTGCACTGCCATGCTGACATCAAATAATTTCTGTCGCATAACAGGCGTGCTATGCAGCGTCTGCCGTCGGATACATTACTGGGAGGTAAAATCTAATTCTGTACCGAATAAGGTGAACAGCTGGTGCCCAGCACTGTTATTCACATGTTGCTGTTTCCTGTGGTTATCTGAATCCAGACCAGGGGCCTGTCTTGTGGTTTCTGGACCTGGGCTCATCCATGCCCTGGGTGGAATGGCCAATGCCAACATGAACTGCTGGTATGACTCCATAACCACTGCTGTGTACTGTACAACTAACAAGGTGTTTATGAAGTGATGCTGGCTTTGCACAGGCCGGTGGTTGTTATCGGAGGGTCTTCGGATCGAAATCAGGAAACTGCAGGAGCCTTTCAGGAGTTTCCTCAGGTAACAAGTGTCTCGATGTGGATTTTTGCCTGACACCGCTTCTCTACGCTCATTCTGTTTCTCCATGTTGCCAGGTGGAAGCATGCCGCCTGTACAGCAAGTTTTCAGCGAGACCCAGCAGTCTAGAAGCCATCCCCTCAGTGATAGAGAAGGTTGTATAACAATGCCCTCACACTGTCTGTTTTGTTCTTTTAATGTATCGAACAGATCTGGATGATGATGATTATTTTCATCACGTCTGTGTAAAGTTTTCTGGTATTTGGTTGGTCACAGGCGGTCCGCACAAGCATCTATGGGCGTCCAGGTGCTTGTTATGTGGATATTGCAGGCGACATGGTTAATGCTAAAGTGGAGAGGAGCAAAGTTAGGTTTGTTGTCATTCTTGGATTTAAAAATAAATAAATACATTTTTATGCACAGTATCACTCGTTAAACATCAGGTGTATAGACTCTCAGAGAAGTGTGTCTCTCGCTCAGAGAGGTGTCCTGCTGTCCGCCTCCACCAGTGAGTTTGGCTGACCAGGGTTCAGTGACAGAAGCCATATCTGTCTTAAAAGCAGCCAAGACACCCTTGGTCATCATCGGCAAAGGTAACTGAAACAAAAGAAGCAATTGCCACCTCTTTTCAAATTAACTAAGCCTAACCAACCTGTGTTTTTCCGCCAATAGGAGCAGCCTACGGCAGAGCAGAGGCTGTGCTGAGGGAGCTTATTGAAATGAGTGGCCTTCCCTTCCTGCCCACCCCGATGGGAAAAGGGGTTCTTCCTGATGACCATGCCAACTGTGTAGCTGCTGCACGCTCAAGGTAAGCCTCACACTGCACAATCACACCTGGTAGTAACCAGACAAAGTTGTAACAATCTGTAGAGCTTCTCCTTAATAGAGTAGTCCAGCAGAACTCTGTAACTTTAGTGTGTTTTAATCTTCCTGAAGTAGAAGGCATAGACATGCTCAGCAATACCCATGCAGGCTTTGGGGTTTAATCAATGCTCAGTTGATATTAACAGTTGAAACAAGGCTGGATGGATTGATGCCTTTGTGCTGTGTGTGCCAAAATCTGACCCTGCCATCTGAATGTTGCAGCAGAAATCCAGACTCATCAGACCGGGCAACATTTTTACAATTTTGGTGATTGTATTGATGTATTGAGCTGCTGCCAACTGATTGGCTGGTTAGGTATTAATGTGCAGTTGAACTGGTGTACCTAATGAAGTGTTAGGTAAGTGTATAATAATACACTTATAAAAGTACTTGTTTTTTAAAAGCGATGGTCAGATTTTTCAAAAAAGAAAACAGTCTAACATCCAGACAGACGGATGTGTTTTGAGTGCAGCTCCTATTTTGAATGTGTTTTTAGCTAGAAGACAAAATTCACCTTCTATATGCATTACAGGATCGAAAAACATTCTGCCTAAGGGAGAAGTGGCATGAAGTTTCTATTTCTATATTTTTTAGGCCAAGAATAGTTGACAGTACATGTTTAGATGGCAAACAAACATTTGTGTCATGGTCATCTATCTGGCTCCTAAATTCTGCATCTTCTAACTAGTCAGGATCTAAAATTTTTAGTCTTGTTTAATGAGAATCCATTGTTTGACCTCTTCTGCTGTTTGTTTTTTATGTATTTTTTTCCTTGTTACCCAGAGCTCTTCTCCAGGCTGATGTCATACTTCTGTTTGGAGCCAGGCTAAATTGGATGCTCCATTTTGGTCTTTCGCCTAGATTTAACCCTAATGTTAAGATCATTCAGGTATGTAAATGACCGAGTTTATGGTTTGAGAAAAATCAGCATTAAAAGATCTGGTTTAAAGCTAGTAGTCTATTTGGTTGTTAATCTTTTGCCTTGTCATGAGAGAGTTAGTTTTGCCAAATCTGGTGCTGCAAAAGCTGTAATGATATAACCCCACTGTGATCTGTTTGCAGGTTGACCTTTGTGCTGAGGAGATGGGCAATAACATGAGGCCAGCTGTTGCTCTCCTTGGAGATATCAGTGCTGTTGCCACTCAGGTACATTTTCAGCAACTCAGCCCATTGGCTCATCTTTCTCTTTGATGTCTTTCCCATAACGTTAACTTTAGGAATCAAAAGCAAACCTGTTTCATCAACATTTGCGCTAATGGTAAGAACCTGTGTAGAACTATGTTTTTCTCTCATAGATAATTCACTATAGCATAAGATCTGGTTGTACTTGTGCAGCTCTTAATGGCTTCTTTAATCATTGGTTTTTAAGCCTGACGACACTGAGGTCTGAACACACTTGTTCAGAGTTTTTTGTTTGTTTTTATATTTTCTTTGCTCCTCTCACTGAATTTTCAGACTGAAATATGCGACAAAAAATATGTCTGTAAAAAGCAAAATGGATCTCAGTCATGGCAAAAACAAAGCGTATTTCATATACAGAGGAATTTGAATTGTTAATATATGTTAATTGAGGCCTGAGATGTACTTCTTGGGTTTTTTGCAGTTTCTCTGAGCGCTGCATGGTCTGACCTTGGGGTGAATTTGTTAATAAGATTTCCACTTGTGAATAATTTTCCTCACAGTACGATGATGGACTTGAAATTGTTTGCAAATGGCCTTATAATCATTCCCAGATTAATGGACAGCAACATTTGCTGAGATTGGTGTTGTCTTTCCTCCTCGGCATTGTGTTCACACACGACCACTTGCTGATGATCAGTTAATCAAATGCATTTGATTAGCAGCACCTGGCTTCTACGTTCTCTCTCAGTTCCTATGGAAACAGTGAGGACATTCACAAGACTGCTTTTGCATTTTATTACGATTACATTGTGTTAAATGTCATGGGGTTGTTCTTCCTCTGAGGTTGCATCTACCAAATTTTAAGACCAGGTAAGGACCAGATGATTTCTTTGAAACGTCTTGTGCTGTATTTTTAGCTCGACTATATTCTCTATATCAGTGACACGAGTACAGTAACATTCAACTGTAATAGCAGTGTTTTTGTTTTTTTTCTTCAGCTGCTACTGTGTGTCCGTAGAGATGGTTGGAAATACCCCTCTAACGCTGAGTGGTGGAGCACGTTAAAGAGCAAGATTGCTGCTAATGCAAAAATATCAAAGGTGGGTTTCACAAAAGTTCTTCTAATCCTTCCTTAGAATTTGGACCACCAATGGAAAGCTTACATTGTTGTTCTGTGCATGGTTACACTGTATCAGCCTGCTGATGACATTAAATTATATATTTAATCCATTTAGATGTTGTCTCTGTTTTTTGTGTTTCTTGCCAATAGGCACTTGCTCTACAGTCTACAGTGCCCTTGAACTACTACACAGTGTTTCATCACATCTCCCAGCTGCTGCCACATGACTGCATCATTGTCAGCGAGGGTGCAAACACAATGGACATCGGACGCACCATGTTAAATAACTACCTACCTCGACACAGGTAAGCCAGTCAAGCGCACTGACTTTTTTGTTGTTTTTTTTATGCTAACAAATCAATTTAGACTAATCTGTGAGTTAATGTATATCTATTAGATTGCTGTAAACTAATCTTGATGATGTTCAGACTGGATGCAGGCACTTTTGGAACAATGGGAGTAGGCCTCGGGTTTGCTATCGCAGCAGCTGCTGTGGAGGCGAGCCAGAACACCGGCCGAAGGGTCGTCTGTGTGGAGGGAGACAGTGCCTTTGGGTTTTCTGGTATGGAGGTTGAGACCATGTGCAGGTGAACTGAGTCCAGTGTTTCTATTCAGTATTTGCAGTTTAACCGTCTATTGACTTCACATTCTTCTCTTTGTGTTTTGTAAATCAGGTATAGCCTACCCGTAGTTGTTATTGTGGTCAATAATAACGGCATTTACAGCGGAGTAGATTCTGAAACATGGAAAGCAATGAAACAAATGGGAGAGCTGACCTCTGTGTGAGTGAGATACTTTTGAGAAAATGATCATAAAGTGAATTCACTGATAGTTTTTATTGATGTCTTATGCTATGACGTAGCAAAAGTTGTCTTACATCGTCACACTGTAGGGCCCCTCCCGTGTCCCTTCTACCTGACGCTCGCTATGATGAGGTGATGAAGGCGTTCGGAGGTCGAGGGTTGCTGGTGAGGACGGTGGAGGAGCTGCGCAGTGCCTTACAGCTTAGCCTGAGTGACTGGGAGAGACCAAGTCTCATCAATGTGCTCATTGACCCTTCCTCAGACAGGAAGCAGCAGGTAACTACAACTGTTTGGAGCACATGTTTATAGAGTCTGCATGTTTATAAAGTATGCAACAACATTAACCACGTCTTGCCTGCCAGACAGACTTGAGGGTGAGCGTCTCCCAGGTGCACCTGGAGTAAAATTCTCTACATGCACAGGCAACTCTAGAAAAATAATGCTCCACCTTGTGGTCACGGTTGTAATAACAACTCCTACCATAGTCAGAGCATCTCTGTGGCTCTATCAAATATCTGGACTTCTGCGCTGTGGAGCGTTTGCCATACACTGGAGAAACATGGAGGGTCTAAGGCGGTCCGAACATGTTAACACAGTCTGGAATAAAGACTTGACATATATCACTCATATCAGAAATCTTATCTCATAGCATGTTTTACACCCTTGCAGCCCTGAGTCCTTGCAGACTATAAGCGGTACTATATGACAAAAGGCTGCAAATCAGATCACAGAATGTTTTTAGTATTTGGTCCTGGTGCACCACAGAAGGCATAAAGAGACTGAGTGACACCGGCAGACACAGCAGTAAAGCCAAGCCTGATTTAATCCAGTGTTTCTTTGGTCTCTGCTTTGCATACAATAAACAGCTTCATGTTTACTTGACTCTTCCTCATCCTTTGAGGGCTATGTTACCAACATGCCTCGCTGAGCCGTAATCCTCCTGCTCCAGGTGCACCAGAACTGTTGTATTCCACTCACAATCCCTCCACCTAACACCAACCTGACCTTTCTATTTCAGGGCTCCCATAATTAGAAAGCAAGGCCCTCCGTGTTTATGTTGAACGTATCCACGCAACCTTTTGCAGACACGGTTGAAGGTTGTATTGAGTAATGTATCCACAGCGCTGAGCTCCACAGCTGTGCCAGCAGAAAGACTTGTCCCTGACTTTTAGTGTTGCGCCTTTACCTTTCGACACCCAACTTTAATTCATTCCTGTCAGACTTGAAGCTGACAAGATTTAGTTTTGAAAATTTGAAGAAAACTTTTAGTTAATTTTTATTACCTAGAAAAACCTCTGTTTTACTGCTTAGATCTCCATTACAGTACAATATTCATCTAGAGCTTATTACACCGTATAGCTCTTTCATTTAAAGACTAATATAAACACTGTGTTGTCTGTTTGCAGGAGTTTCCTTGGCTCACACGTTCCAACCTGTAGATTTCCAGAGCATTTCAGAACAGCAGTGACGGTTTTCTCCTGGAAAATATCAAACTGCTTTTGTTTTTCAAGTTGTTTCCATTAATTCATCAAATATTTTGCTATTACTATACTGTGAATAATATGAAAAATATGACTACAATAAAACATTTCACACAGAGTGCATGCTGTTTCTTTATGTCATTTTTTTCCCCTCTTAACCTGGACTGCAACTGTGAGTTGCCCTGTTGCCTACATTAATGAAATGTAATAAAATTAAATGTAAAGGGGAGAAAAGTGTCTGAAAAGACGAAAATCTGGAGAAAAGGAGAAAAATAAACGCATTTGACAAACTTTTTTTTCTTTTTGCAAATGAACCAGCTAATGTTTACAGTTGAATGTAGAGATTTGTCAGTAATGGGGAAACTTTAGATGAAATCAACAGGATTTTTCTCATTTCCATAAGTTTTGTATCCTTTTCCACAACTTGTCTGAAAAATCCTAAATGCGCGACAAAAAAAGCAATGCAAGCTAAAATAATTTGGTAGAAAATTGCATTGCTTTGTATCTCTTAAGTTGCAAGCTTGACATGATTGCTTTTTGTAATTTATATAAAGAAAAAAGCATAATTTATCTTAACCTCCTAGGACCTGAACTCTTCCCCAGCATGCATTTTTAATTTTTCTTTGATATTTGGGCATATTGGGGCCCGATGAATGTAAAAACAAAGAATTACCAGATTTTTTTTTTACCTTATTTTTGTTTTAAGAAAAATAAGAGCCACATATAAGGATATTCGTTTAAAATTTTGATAGAACAGTAGCAGTATAATGTCCTTGTAAGTGGATATCAGGCCCATGTAGAGCAAAATTGAGTATTTTAGTCTAAATAACCCAAAATGTGATGTCCACACATGTGGACGCCAGGAGGTTAAAGTGCTGCTGAGAAGTAATGGAGTCTGTTTTTCTAGGTCCTTTGGAAATGCAGACACTTGACATTGTGTAAAAGACTTGCCACAGCAGTATAGTGCGTACTAAATAACTTGATGCACAGTGTACTTCATCACAAAAAAAACACATTAATCTAAACATAATTAGACTGTAGACTGATACATCTAAGAAAGTTGTAACATATTGACATCTTCATTCAGAATGCTCTCAGCATGTCTTGCAGAAAAGCACACAGGGAGTCTCACAACTTTCCCTGAAGAGAGACAATAACAAAAGCCCCCCACTGCAGTAGTAGAGATCTAATATTGGCACCAGGAGCAGCTGGCAGGCTGTCTCCTGTAATTTTAGTGCACACTGATGCAGAGGAAAGATTTAATGGGTATTGGTCAGCGTACCCTCTTCTGAGGGCGTAAAGGAGACACAGCAGAGTGAACGCAGAGGGAGGGGGGCAGAGAGAGAGGACAGTGAGAAGAGAGGGAGTGGAAAAAGACAGCGTGAGAGCTGCTGTGGATCAGAAATAAAGTCGGGCAACTATCCGGAGCAGCATGACTCTTCTAACACTTGGACTGTATCTGCCATTGTGGTTTTGTTATGGCCTGGCTCAGCCTTCTTTTCTGGACAACTTTGATTCATTCCCAGCAGGTAAGAGCGTTTTAATCCTGAGCTTGAATACTGTATACTGTACTGTACAGTACTGTGCGTGCACAGGAGCTGGTGGATTTGAGCTGCAAAAGCACGGATTCTGAAAGTCTCAATTTGAGATTCACGTGGCACTCATGATAATACCCTTGTTTTTATTTTCTTGTTGTCCATGAGGCAGGTTGGAAAGGCCTCTATAAATAGCGAGAACAGCTTTGGCTCTTCAGTGAGAGGCACATGGGCTTCGTATCCATCCAGTGCTAGGAATTCTGCTGGATGGGTGTCATGATTTGATAGTTTGCACCTGTTTCTCTGTTGCTTGTGCTGCTCCAGCATGCTGTAATTGCTTCAGTTTGTCTAATTTTTGATCTGTCCCACCTTAATTTGTCGTAAATGAAGTTTTTCTCATCTCACATTCATTAGCGTGGGTGCAGAAGTTAAAACAACACACAAAAAAAACTTCCTGGCTTCATATACCTTTGATACCCTGTTTAATTTGTGACTGCATGCCCACCTTGCGCAGCTCTCAGATCACCGGATCAGCAGAAGAGGTTCAACCCATGCTGTTTAGTGAGTCCGCCTCCACCACCACTGTTTCCTCCACCCCCTTCACTTTGGCGCCTCTACCCTCATGTGAGTCAAAGTCATGTGACTTTCTATTGTGAATCTCTAACTGTTGACATGTCCTTGATTTATATCCAAAAACACCACATTTCTTACAGCCTTTTGACCCCTGGTCAAGAGTCTCTCTAATTTAATGTCAACAACTGAATGAATATCATCAAACCTGCTCTTGCAAATGTTGTCAAGACCGAAGAAGTCATCGAATTGCATCTTTATTTATATTTTACAGAGTGATGGAAATTCCCGTGGTGGTCGCGAGTCTGATGTGGACAATAACAATAAAGTTTCTTCTTGCCCAGCAGGCCCTCCGGGGCCTCCTGGCCCCCCAGGACCTCAGGTGGGAAACCAGGCTATTCCTAAAACATCATGGCTATCCTTTTGTATCTGGAACTGTGCCACTGTTATTGGACTCTTCCAATAAATCTCTCATAATGTAACAGGATTCATCACCACTATAACTAAAGCGTCAGTCTCTGTTTCATGTTGGAGTCTACGTAGTTTTAAAGTGTTAAAAATTAGTACCCCAACTACATATTAACCGCATGTCTTCTCCAACTTGATAGTTCCTGTATAGCAGGAGATGGGGATTTCTCTGGCCCATGCAACACAGCAACCCATTAACGCTCCACTTTTAGCTGAGACACAAATAGCCTTTTTCCACCGGCTGCCAGTGTCCCACACATCATTCTCAGAAACTGTCTGAAGAGCTGTCTGCTTGGAAACGAGTACTGGGTCGCGTAAATTCCAGGGCTCACCAAAACATGCTCGTGTCCAGGTGTTTGTGTCCTCTAGTGATTGAAAGATGCAAAGACCTTTCGGTTCAAAAGTCCCTCATAACCCAACCTGCTCCACTGTTCTCCACTGTGTTCCAGCATTTCATAAGTGAAAGCAGATTTACCAACTGATTGTTAAAGCTTTTGCTGCGGTTGCTCATCAGAGGTCCAACCGCAGCAGCATTTCTCTTTATCAAAGGAGGTCCACAAGGCAGCTTTTAAATCAATAGTGGCCACTCAGCCTTTAGCTAATTGAAACTGCGGCTTCCAGAAACAGAACAGATCTGTGGTGGGATGCTGTGGACAATAAAATGAATTTAGATGGCTATCTCTGTGATTTAGGAGCATATAGCACAAATCTAATGTTTTCTTTTTATGTTCATTAGGGTCCCCCTGGATTACCTGGGATAGCAGGGCCTAAAGGAGAAAAGGTAAGGAGTGTACTTATCGAAATTAGATAAAACTAGACTGTCTGCTTATTATTCTAATAAGCTAAAGTGCAACTGACCTTTTGCACACAAATGCTTTCTGGAAGTGCATTAAATGACTGCCGTCCTTGTCCCCTCCTCCACATCCTGTTGTCAGGGAGAAATAGGAAGACCTGGTCAAAAGGTGAGAGTCTCCATTAATCACTCCATGTTCTTTGCTAAGTGGATTTACTCAAAAAATGAGATACAATGCCTCCGCCTGCTCGCTCGCTGTAAGTCACAGTGCTGCCAGTGCCTGCTTGTGTACATCCCGAAATTGTGAGGATATACAACCTTGACAGGAGGCAGAACAGACACACTGACAGGAGGCAAATGGGTGCAGGGCTGCTGAGACAGGCTGTTTTTGTGGCTGAGGGACTTTACATGCTCTCAGTCTGTTTCTCTCACCGAAGCGGAGCATATTGCTTCCCTATCAACATTCCGCATCAGGCTAGCCTATCCGACTGTCCTCCTTCTCCTAACATAAAGCTTTATTGAAAGCTCGGGACACACTATGTGATGAGCACAGGTAGAAGAGTAGCGTCCTCCTAAATGAATCAAAGCTGTCCAATGGGGGAGCTTCACTTTGCAAGCGGCCTGACTGAGCAGCTTTGCAGCACCGCAGAGCAATTTAGCTTAGTGTTTCAGCCAGGTTATTAATCATTTTATTTCCCACAAGCACAGACTCCTGTTCTATATACAGCCCATCATTTAATTAAAGAGAGCAAAGTGACAGGGCTCGTTAAAGCCATTCTCCCCCTACATGTGCAGCAGCGTCTGAAAAATGCTGTAGTGAGCTG